ATATATAGTGTTCCAATGATGAAATCAAGTAAAAAAATTGATTTCATTTTCTTTTCCACCAAATTTAACAGATGAAGTAATAATAATCTATTGGCAAATATTATCGGTTTTTATCAAATAATTTTGAGGCAAAAATGTGAATCACAAAAAAAAAAAAGGCGAGTTAAAATATTACGAATATTTAGGATTTGGCTTAAAAAAATAGGGTGAAATCAGATGCAAGTAGATGACAAAAAAAAATATAATATCTGGGATAGTCTACAACGAGACCATTTATCTTTTGTACATGGAGGTCATAATCATTCCCACTCATTAGACGTCAAATTGGATGGCTTGAAGTAAGTCACAAAATCTGATAATTTTTTTTTTTGAAAATTTATGTATATACAATGACAATTTTACATCCACCCATGTTGAAATTTAAGGGACAAGAACGATTGACCTCCATGTCATAAATGGTCTCTTTGTAAACAATCCCATAATATATAGAGAGCATGATTTTATTGTAAATATATAGTAAAGTCATTGAATGATAATTCAGTTGATAGCATTTATATTAAGAAAAAAAAAGGGGAAAAATAGCCCATCCAAATTATCGTGTTCTTCTATACAACAATTAAAGAATAGAAAACCTATATAAGATAAAACTCAATCAAAACCTTTTTTTTTTTTAACATGAACTTAATCAAACTTATTTATAGAGAAACTTTAACAAAATCCTCATTTATATTGAATAATTTGCATATGTAAACCCAAATATTTGCACCTCACCCAACGCTATTTCTTCCTCCGTACTCTTGGTTTGGTGGAAAGGAGGATTTTTTAATTGGAGATGCTTTCCCTACGGCTACTTTGGGATGAAGTTTTATGAGAACGTCATTGTTTTCATAATACGTTCTTAGAATGGGATTATATATAGCGAGACCATTTAAGGAAGTTACAATTATTTATAGAAAATTTTTTATATAAGATGTCAACCTTATATTTGATACAAGAATGTCACAATTATTTATAGAAAAAAGTGTATATAACATGTCAACCTTATACCGTAGAAGTAAGATGCACCTCAAAAACCCAACGAATCATCACTAGAAAATTCTCCAATTGATCATCTTCACATCGATATATATATATATATATATGGATATAAGAAAAAAAAAAAATTGAAGTCTTAAAAATAATTCATCTTGTAACACATTATCTGGATCATCCACGTTTCAAATTTTAGAGTGTTCATAAATCTACACCATTTTTGGAAATTTCAGCTTCATTATAGTGGTGAAAAATACTCTCAGGTCATGATGAGAGTTATACTTTTCCTTTTAGACTACGTTGGGAGCAATTTTTTAGAGGAATACATTTTAGGCTAATATGTTCATAAAACTTTCGATGATATTATCCGGATTGTTGATTTTTGGTAAGCAAATCAACATATTCTTTTTAAAAAATCATGCTTCAGTTAGAGACAAACTAATAACAAGTCGAATGCTAATGCATGAATCCAATCCATGTAACAATGATAACATAGCTCTTTGCCCGTCAAATGCTTACAGATCTTTTACTTTTCTTCAGCGAGGTTTGTATAAAGCATCAACCTGAAACAATCAAAGCAATGTGCACCTCAAAACTGTATTGAAAGAAGTACTTTCGTGCTAGAAAGCCTTACAATTACGTGAAAATCTATTGTAAACCCTACCAATGAAATTTAAAGCTAACAAAATATGAAAATTGAACAGATCTCTAAACAACCTAAAATATTGAAAATGGTCCAGATAACTAGATGTACTATTTTTATGACTTCAAGTCTTTTTTATCTATATATATATATATATATATATATCGAGATGAACGATTTGAGGGTTCTCTAGCATCAAAACAACATTTTCTGATAGGCTTTTAAAGTGCACCTTACTTCAATAGTACACTGTTGATGCCTTACATAAACCTTTTCCCTAATTAAATGCTATCTTAGGTAGTACGTAGAATGTTCTTCCTCCTCATAAGAAAATGCTCTCCCTCTCTCCCATTGTAGTACTATATTCATAATGCTCTTTCTTTTTATTCTCAAAAAATAAGAAAACACTCAGCTATTAGAAAAGAATACGATGCAAAGCTCTCTCTCTCTCTCTCTCTCTCTCTCTCTCTCTCTCTCAACAAAATGCTCCCTCATGCCAGAAAATGTGGGTGAAGGAGAGGGTTGGACAAGCCTGATACAAGTAAGAGACTCAACATCTCGATATTACATAGACATGCATTAAATATCCTTGACTCATACAGTTATAATGTAAACCTCATGACAGCAGAAGTGATGGAGCCAGCAACCTTTGCATATTCACCTTCAGCGAATTAATGCGATGCCAAATTCCTTGGTTCCGCTGCAGCTGTGAATTCATCTAAGTGTCCATGGTTGAAACATCTTCCAGTATGTCTAGAGACTTTTTTCAGCAAAGACTTTGCATATTCATTTCTCTCAATTTCGATCAAATGTACAAGCTCATCCCTAAAACCGACTTCTATCTTCTTGGGCACAAGAGTCCGATGCACTTCGATCATCTCTAGGAGACACTCAGAAGCAGATGCATGCACCTGGGATATCCAGCATTCCCATAAAGAAATAAGAGGAGGATAAATACCAGACATTATTTAGAAGCTTTTGAACAAGAAGAAGTATATCATACACCAATGGTATGTGGTCTAGGTACACTTAAAGAGGCATCCACCATCTGTTCCCAAAGACAAATGGCTGCGATTAACTGTAGCCTGTTCAATGTCCTGGTGGGGCCCCACTGCAGTTAATATCCAGCTTTCCATCTTTATAAACAAAGTGGATGACACTTTGGGGTAACATGTACCATACACCAACGGGGTATGGTATGCTTCCATGTCAGTTTGTTTGGGTGTGTCAAAGATATTGTTTTGGGAAAGCGTACGTATACCTTGGGTAAAAAAGGTTCACAATCAATACCTAGCGGACAGAGTAGAAATTGGGTGGCTGGGGGTTTGCCATTTTGACTGTGCTCGAAGTCCAAGAAAATTTCTGTTGGACTTTGTGTGGAGCAATGACACGGCCCAACCGTATGATTTTACATCTGATGGCTTGGGGTGTTTGTGACCTTGGCGCATGAAAGTTATGGTCTCACTATATACGATCCCTATCATTTTATTCTATTGTGTCAGGACGGTATCGAATTGTATATGTTGCAGAATGCAGATGTACATTTTGACTAATATACAATTGCATGGTCCTCGAAGTCACACCCTAATTCATTTTTATCAAGACATAGAAGGTTCAATTATTCATAATGGACATTGTTTTTCTCAGGCCATTGCTGATTCTAGAACAGACAATGCGATGACAAGTCACTAACATTTTTGTTCCTTCACTGCATATTAAAAAGAGCGATGCATGTGTCTCAACAGAGATATTAGAAAGAGGAGAGGAAGGACCTGCTGAGCCTGCTAGATGCTAAAGTTTCAAGAGCATGTATACATCCTTGTCTAGTAGATGCAATCGAACCCAAATTTTGGTTTGAGAACCATTCAACCTTTGAAGTTTAGATACTTCAATTGGAATGTTGAGAATCCTTCTGCAGCTCGGCAGATTATAGTGGTTCTCCTTTGTTCTCCTTCCCTACTAAAGCTGTTGGTTTTAAATGGTTTGATGCTATGATTTTTGCCAGAAACCATATATTCAAAGCAGAAACTTGCAGTTTCCAAATCTTATAATTCATGTAGGTGTGACGAGATAAATGGGTGCAAATTAATGACCATGTGTCAATGAGGAGGATCTGGGCATTCTTTTCTTTTAAATGTTTTTGAGCTTTGCCTGCTGAGCCCTTAGAATACTCTGAAGCTTTTAAGATCATGGATTGTGAAAACAAAGTATAATTTCGCGCTGCACAAATCTAACAACTATCATAATTGTCACAAGAATGATTTTGACTTAAGAGGATGTATTAGAATCAGACATTAAACGAATATGCAAGAAACCACATTACATGTTGCTATTTCAAGTCAAATGGTGTTTCTCAAAACATAGGTAATAAGTTTATCATATGTTCACAAATTAATCTATAACAAGTACGACTGAATTTGTGTACATCAAAAAGAATGCAATCATGCTATGTGAGAGGGCGCATGTATGTATTTTCCAATCTAGTTCCATCTAAATTCTTGTAGAGCAAGATATTTTCATTCTAAACAGTAACATGGCAGGCAAATGCATTGTACTGGATGAAAACATATGAAGCCTTGTGAAGAAAATTCAGAGCGAATTGAGGGCTTTAATGTAACACACAAAAGATGTTCAAAACAAATAGAATGATCAGGATATAGTACCTGGGCAATCTTAATGATGCTTATGCATTCCACTACTTTAGGGGCCAAGGAGTGAAGAGCCTGAAGACAAAAAACAGAACATTAAAAATTAAGAATGGAGAAAGAGTCTACCTTGAAAAGGGGAAAATATAAAATAATAAAAATTAAGAATGGAGAAAGAGTCTAACTCGAACAGGGGATAATGAGTATGCCATAATACAATGAATTATGGAAAACCATTTGGTCATTACTGTTCATTGAAATGATGAACCATGACAGTGAGAATGTGTGACCCAGAAGAACAAGAGATGATTTCTGAGTGGTGTCCTACTCTCTCTCCTTTACTCTCCATCATTTCCATGGAATGACAATGGCACAATGGACTATGCTTTCCACTTTCTAAATGGTCCAAATAGATCACAGACATACCTTCCCATAAAGAAAAACAGAAACGTGGCTCCATGTTCAAAGATTACCTCATGGACTAGAGCAGTGATATCCAACAGCAGAGAGGAATCATCACTGGTCTTCAAGGCATCATGGTGAAACTTCGAGAAGAATTCTTTGATCGATGAGAAAACTGACATCTTGACTGCCCATGCAAATCCAGTAACCAGTCAGGATGGATGTCTAACTTATAAAGGGGAGAGCTCATTATAATCCAACAAACCATATAAAAGACAATAGTCCATTGGGTCATCATGTCCATTGAGAATGGTGTCTTAAGCAACAGTAAAACATCAAAGAATATGACAACCAAAATGGTCTCATTCTCTCCTTTGCAGTTCATCATTTCAATGGACAGCGACGAAACCATGGACTATGGTTTTCTGAAGTCCAGAGAAATGAACAAATGCTTCCCCTTTCCCTTTACAAAAATATTTTCAAGAATGAAAAGATTTACTCGATAGATATTAACAATGTAGACATAAGGTTCTATCGGGTACCTATCCAGGAAAATGTGGGAGAGAAGGCAGAAAAAAACACATGTATCAAGTCCTTCCCCTGTCTAACAATATCCGGCAATTGTGCCACGCTGATAGAGGATGTAATACAGTCAAAAACTTTCTCAGTTGGTACAGATGTATCTTCTTCAGATCTGTCTTCTGCTTTTAACAACTCATAACCCCACAAAACCAGCATAAGTAGGAATTCTCATACTTCAGCTATTTAAAAAAGTGGAGCCATATTAAGGAAAAGAGCTCATGCAGAAGAGAAAATTAACAAGTCCACTGATTTTTTTTTCCAATGTTAACTTGGGCCCTCAATAGGAATGGAACTCTAGACGGATCTTGTGCCCCCCTGCCACCCTGACCACCCAAGCTAGAGGCCATTCCTTGATTATTATATTGTTTGTCTGCTGAAAACTTCTGGTTAAATGGATATCAGAACTGTAAAACTGGGAAAAGAAATCATTACCACCATTTAACATCACATGTTGAGGTTTTAAATTATTCATTGTTCTTAGGATACAAAGTTACAAATTCACTAGAAGCAGAGGCACATAAATACAACTATTGCTTGGCAAAACTCATGGCACAGTAAGGGTCTGATTTAGAATGGAAATTAAGCATGAGGTCCCACCCATACCTGCTTTAGCAGCATCAGCGAAGAGAGCTGGATTAGGCATGAGGGAGCTTGTTTGAGTACAGACCTCAAACAACATGGGTAAAACCATATCGAAGAATTCAGATTTATTAAACGCTTTTATAACCTAGGAATAGAAAGAAATGTCAGAATAGCTTTTTGAAAATGTGCAATGCATTAAATTCTTCACATATTAACAACCTTGAATTATGGCCATAATAACAATTGAAGCAATATATATATATAGATATATATATATATATATATATATATATGACACACTGTCCAAATCAAATAGATTAAAAAAAGTGAAGTTCTGCGAATGAACCCTCCAATTGTTGACACTCCCAGCTACATAAGAAGGCTTGTGTTTTGCACCATGCAAATTCTATATTCTATAATCTATATCACCCTTTGGAAATTTGCACATTTCTCTCTCTTTTTCATTTGATCAGTAACTAAATATTCATCCACATGTAAAGCAACCATACGTTATGGTAAGGGAGTTGGATGGGGCACCGAGACTATGTTTCACTCCATTAATAAATGAACAGGTAAACAGACCCAACCCTCACACCATTGCCCCAGAACTAGACATGCATGACTTGTAATTTCCCATCAATTTAGTGTGGCAGAGATTTGAGGCATTTTTTCGGGAGATCAAAGACCTGTGGAACCAAAAAGGGTACCCTCCCCCCAAAAAACAAAAAAAGAACACCCTTTTACACAAGTTCCAACTGAAATAGGAAATACACAAGGAATTCTTTAGAAGTTCCGAATGAAAAATGTTACTATAAAAACATTTTATACACATGGTTAGTCGGATATAAAAATACAAATTATATACTTGTCAAAGAAAATACAAATTATATACTCGTCAAAGAGAATACAAATGTTATACCTAGTTAACTGCACATTTTTCATTGGTGTCAAGACTTTCAAATGAGTAAACATTTTCCTAGAATATATCCAAACAAAGGACCATGCACATGCTTTAATGGCCAGTTCACAACTGGTCTCCAACACTGAAACATGAATGACTGGAGCATCAATTCTACTTGAAGCAAGACCAAATCGCAACTCTAACACTTCCCAAATATATAGGAACCTCCTATTGCTCCTTTGTAACTAATGTGTCAGAGAAACATGAACCATTATATTGCATCTTAAGAGTTCCATGAATGGGACGCCATGCATGAAATGTTAGAAGATAATGCCAAATAAAATCCTTTGTCGCAATGGGCCTGTTCCAAGTTTATATTTAGGCGTACAAATGCGAGTAAAGATTCACATTTTCTCATAAAGCAAAGAGCATGTTGTCTGAATTTCACTTCAAAAAAAGAAACAAAAAAGAAATATCATATGGAAAAACATATTTTGGCATAAGAACACCCTAAAGGCATAAGGTAAGCATGTGAGGTATTAAAAAAAAAAAATCCTTCACATTCCCATGTGCTTCACTTATAGATGGATTTAGAGCAACATAGAATGAAGAACACTCTTCATGCAAAATTTCATATCTCCAAATCTCAAAGATAAAACAATTTACATACCTGCTGTAAGCAAGAAAAAGCTGCTTCTCGATATGCCGGCCTGATTTTCTTCTTGCAGACAGAAGATATTGTGCCCAAAACAAGATTGGGGGTCGCGGGTTCATCCATAGATATTGAACGGTGACAAGCTGTGCAAAGAGCCGCTATAGCATGCAGAATTTCCTCTTTCCCCTATCAAACAAAAAGAGGAACTTAGAGAGGTGTACATTGATTAGGTCGTACTTTCATGTCCAATGTGCAAATAACATTTAAAATTTGTTACATTGTTGCCTTCGTAATTGCCTCAAAATATTATGCATACCTCCCATAAACGCCCAGGCAATTCTTTCAGAAGGTTGTTAAGAAGATCCTTGTGGAAAAGAGATAAGGTTTCAACTAAGACTTCAGCCAACCTTGTGATTGCCTTCGCTGACTACAACGAGAGACAGAACTCAATAAATAACCACCATATCACGTAAGAACTAGAAAACAAACATCTGACATAAATTAGGAGCCTAAACATATATGCAAGCAATTAGCAAGATCAATATTTGATGAATAAGCACTAATATGTAAGAAACATGAAATATTTTTACAAGATCAACAAAATGTTTCGCAACACTCTTTGGAATAAGTATCCATCTTACCTTTCTCTTGTTAGGCCATGATGATGATGTCAAACAATTACATATGAGTAAAACTATTTCAGATAAATATAACTCAAGGGTAATTCTTTCGCTGCTCGCTATTTCTTCCCACAATTCCTCAAACTGGCTGCTGACATCTTTCTCGTCTCCAAATCTGTAGAATAATAAACAATTTAACGGCATTACCAAAATCCAAAAGTTAACCTTAATCAAAATATATATTCATGTCACTCTTACTTTTCGCTATTTTTTTCCAGAATTGAACCTCAGCTATTATATTTCCAATATGTCCAAAGGGAAAGGGTAACAGTATTCTTGTTCTCATTATTAGCAATAAAAGCAACTAAACTCACTATTCTTGTTCTCATTATTAGCAATAACAGCAACTAAACTTAAATTGGAAACATCAATCCTGCTATATAAGACCTCCTTAATTAGAAAATTTGACACACAGGAACTGGTTACATGAAACCTAAGCAATCGATAGCTCACATAGATGTTATAAAGTAGAAAAAAAGAATCCGGAGGGGGAATGGCTATTATAAAAAAGATTGGGAGCTAGTATGCCTGTACACTAATTAAAAACTGACATCATACATTTTCTTATCTATATATAATTTTAACTAGCACAAAAGGAAGTTTTGCCTAGCATAAAAATTGCAAAAATTAGTCAATGATGCAGAATGTTGTGACTTGATAATTCTAAAATAAAAAATGACAGAATACCATATTGCTTTTTGCGTTGGACTGGAAGTTCTTGGTAGAATCTTTCTGCTTCTAGCAATGGTTGATAAAACAATATAGGAAATGCTTCTTGTGACATTGCATATAAAATTTTCCATTTAGCAGTCAAATTGGCGAATATATTGATGATGATTGTTGAATCCTTCAAACAAGAAATGGCAGCCCCCCTTGAGCTGAAAGAACAAATTGAGTAACAGAACGTGGATTTGGAACTCAAAAGATCATCTCATCTTCGATGAATCATGGAATGTTCTACTTTGGTTGAAGGACTGTGAATCAACATAGAACAGTTCCATCATGCATCCAATGCATTTGAAATCAAAGTATTCAGTTTGAGCTTCAGAAATAGCAAAAGCCAAATTGATCCAGCCTGAATTATTTCTCCACTAAACATTCTTTCATAAAGTTTCAAATTTTAACTAAATTACCAATAAATTATGGATATAGAAATAATATACAGTATCCTTCACCCATCAAATGACAAAAGTTCCTTTAAGAATCCAGATTCATCATCATCATCATAGCCTTTTCCTAACTATTTGGGGTCGGCTACACGAATCCCGGTCCACCATTTTGCTCTATCAAGGGTCATACCCTCAAAGAGTCCACAAGTCCCTATATTTTTTTTTACTACTTCCAACCATGTCCTTTTGGGCGTACCTATTGCCTTTCTTTAGCCTTCCACTTGAACCAACTCGCACCTCCTACAGGCATTGTGCCAACCCATCTAAGTCTACTCTCTCTCATCTTATTGCCTATTGGTGCCACACCTAAGTTCTCCCGAATGCTAATTATATTCCTTCTTGTCCTGTCACTCATCCATCTCAACATCTTCATCTCAACTACACTCATCCTATGGGTATGTTGTTACGTGACCGCCCAACATTCTGCCCCGTAAAGCAAAGTTGGTCTCACAGTTGTCCTATAGAACTTCCCCTTCAGCTTCATTGTTATGTGGTGATCACATAAAACTATGGTTGCACATCGCCACTTCGCCCACGCAGCTCTAATTCTATGTGCAACATCTTCCTCAATCTCTTTATTTTCCTGGATTATTGACCCAAGATATCAAAAGTACATTTTTTTTTGGTCTTTCTTGGCCGTCAATCTTAACTACTTCCTTGTCTCTACTCCTATTATTATTAAACTTGCATTCTATATACTCTGTTTTGGTCCAGCTAATTTTAAAACCTTTAGAATCTAGAGATCCCTCCAAAGTTTTAACTTTGTGTTGACGTCGCTTCGGGTCTCATCGATCAAAACTATGTCAGCAAACAACATACACCACAGTATTTCATCTTGTAGGTGCCTAATTAAGTCGCTCATAATAAATACAAAGAGGTATGGACTCAATGCTAACCCCTAATGTAGACCTATTGTTACTGAAACTCACTCATCTCTCCACAAGTTGTTCGCACACTAGTTAGCGCTCCCTCGTACATATCTCTCACCAAGTTGATACAGTATCTGGAGACTCTTTTTTTTCAACACCCACCAAATTAAATCTCAAGGCACTCCATCATAAGCTTTCTCTAGATCAATAAAGACCATGTGGAGGTCTTTTCCCTTCGCCCTAAACTTCTTAATCAAATTCCTTGGACAAAATCATTTTACATCTATGCTCCATTTTGACAACGTATCATCTATATAAGGTCTCCATTTTATGGCATGAACTCTATTTTCCTTTGACATGTTTAATACCCCATTGCTATTTTATTTTTCCAATGCTTTCTTGGGACAAAATTAGTGAACACTTCTTCCCACATCTTGGGTTAAATGTAATCATCTAAATTTTGATATCAAAACAATAAAGATACAATCAATGTGGTTCAATTTCAAACTCCTTGACAAGATAGATACATTGCATTGTAATTAAAGGTCTATAATAAAGATGCAATGCTACCGATAATTCAATGAAGGTCTTGGCTATACATTATAATACAAATAATTTAACTCGCCTCAGGCCTCGGACACAACCCTAGCCGAGGCAAGTAACTCAACCAAGTCTCAGTCAGTGTTTCAAAAAGTGCTAGGCGGCACCTAGGTGTGGTTGGGAGGGTCCAAACCGCCCAACACCTAGGTGAGCGCCCAGAACCTGGGCGACCCAGTAGTTGTTTTTTTTTTTTTGGTTTTCTCTCTCTAAAATAGTTTCTAATGGGTTTTAGGTTTCAAATGAACCTAAAACCCACAATTTTGCCCCTTTAATATTAAAAAAATAACTCAAAAATATCCTTGAGGAGCTGCATTTCCGCTCCTGGGAGGGCGCCTAGCAGAGCATCTAGGCGGGTTCCCGGCACATAGGCAGGCGCCCAGGGATATCCACCTAATTTGGCTGCCTAGGCCTAGGCGAAGCGCTCAGGCCTTCTGAACCACCTAGGCGATCCGCTTTTTAAAACACTAGTCTCAACCTATACTCTACAGGGCCAGAAATCCCTAAACATCATCATCATCATCATCATTTGAGCCCTATCCCAACTCTTTGGGGTTGGTTACAAGAATCTTGTTTCTACCATTCCGCTCTATCGAGGACCATACCCTCAGTCAAACTATAAGTCATCATATATTTTCTCACTACTTCTATCCATATTCTTTGGGTCCTTCCACTTGAACTAAAATCATCCCTCCTAACCAGTATTGTTCTCGGTCGATGTTGCACATGATCATACCACCTAAGTTTACTTTCCCTCATTGCTTATTGGAGCTTCCCCTAAGTTCTCTCAAATGTATTCATTCCGAATTCCATCCTTGTCTTGCCATTCATCCATCTCAACATCCTCATCTCAACAAAGCTCATTATGTGAATATGTTATTTCTTGACTGCCCAACATTTTGTCCCATAAAACATGGCTAGTGTATAACCACCTTATAGAGCTTCCCCTTCAGTTTAATTGGTATGCCACAATCACATAAGACTCTAGAAGCATATATCCACTTCGTCCACCCAACTCTAACTCTACAAGCAACATCTTTCTCAATCTTCCTTTTCTCATGGATTATCGACCCAAGATATCGAAAATATTTTCTTTACGTACTTCTTGGCCATCAAACTTAACTGATTTCGCGTTTCTGCTATTACTACTAAACTAGCATTTTATATATTTTACCTTAGTCCAACTAATTTTAAAACCTTTAGAATCTAAAGCATCCCTCAGAAGTTTTAACTTTGCAATATCCCTAAAAAGAATAAAAATTCAAAATTTAAAAATAAAATAAAAATTGCAAAAGTAAAACAAAACCAAAGGCAACATGATGCAAGGAAATTTGAGGGAACAATGAAAACAAGGAGCAAAACTAAATACAATCACAATTCAAAGAAACCTAGGGTTTCTTCTACATACCCCAAGCTAGGGTTCCAAAAGCCTAAGCTTTTCTCTTTTTCAATTTCTAAAAATCATGTGGAATTGTCCCTCTCAAGGCCCCACACACCTCTTATATATTACAATCTAATGTTCAAAGACATTACATTTTCATAAAATGATTAAAATAATTTACATATCCTAACTTAAACTTAAATTTTGTAAAGGCAGTTTTACCCGTGTGAATAGCACTCATGAATAGTACTTGTGAATACTATTCATAAAATAAATAAAAAACAATAAAAACCCTAGAATTCTTAAAAAACTAAAAATCCTAAACATAAATCCTAAAACTAAAATCAAAGTATACCTCCTTTAAAATTGAATAGAAATTAAAAAATAAGTATAATAATGCCCTCCATCATTCTCACCTGGTTGGATAAAACTCGTCCTCGAGTTTTGAAGTGTGTTAAGATGAATTCAACGTCAAAATCAACTTCTTCATCTTTGTTGGCTAAAAATTTATTCATGGTAAAAATACTTCCTCAAGAAATGGATCTTGGTATGTATATTGAGGAATCAGGGCCACAATTTGCAGATTGTGAATCGGCCAGGCTTTTACTGCACTACTCTGATTCCAATGCCCTAAATCATTTCTTGAATACTTCACCTCTTCAATATTAATGAGATCTTCAAAGGCCAAGATTTAAGTCAATCCTCATGTTACCTTCTCTCCATATTTTTCACCTTCTTCCAAAATCTCTTTATCATCATCTTGATCCTTTTCATATATCGCATCTCCTAAGATATATTGTTGTTCATCTGATTACATGTTGAAGATTGGTGATGAATCCCAATCTGCAACTTGCTGATTTCCGATGCAATCTATGTCAAAATCAATAATCTCATCCTTCAAATCGAAAACCCCACAGTGATATTCCCCACATCTAGGTCTTCTATAGCTATCCTCAACACTCGACTCCCGACGCAGAGCAAAAAAGTAAAAAGGCTTGTATTCGATATTCTCTTGGGTTGAAAGATCACTGTCTTGCCCATTATTGAGGCTCGTGAACTGTTGCATCAGTTGTTGTACTTGCCTTTCTAGTTCCTCAATTTTGTCTTCTATGGGATCATGAAACGGATCTACGAAAATCCCACTTCTACGGCCCCTTCTAGCTGCCATGGATTCGCTGAAATCACAAACCTTAAGCAAATGATCAATAATAAAAAACTGTTGAAATCAGCAAGATCTAGATTGTTTTAACAAAACTTTAGCCAAAATCAAATAATCCTAGACCCCCATTGCCCCGCTTTGTTATTGACCTAGGGCTCCAAAAAATCGACGCTAGAGTAACTACGCATAGTGCTACAATAACTCGATACAGTGGTACGATACTTTCCGTGTAGAATGCGGGCTCTTATACCAATTTAATGCAGGGAAATCTGAGGAAACAATGAAAACAACAAGGAGCAAAGCCAAACACAATTACGATTCAAAGAATCCTAAGGTTCCTTCTCCATACCCCAAGCTAGGGTTCCAAAAGCCTAAGTTTTTTTTCTTTTTCAATTTCTTAATATCATGTAGAATTGTCCCTCTCAAGGCCCCACACACCTCTTATACATTATAACTCAATATTCAAAGAAATTACATGTTCATAAAATGATTAAAATGGCCTATATATCCTAACTTAAACTTAAATATGACAGTTTTACCCCTATGAACAATATTCATGAATAGTACTTGTGAATAGTTATCATAAAATAAATAATAAATACATAAAAACCCTAGAATTCTTAAAAAACTAAAAATCCTAAACATAATTCCTAAAACTAAAACCAAAGTATACATCCTTTAAAATTGAATAGAAATTAAACATAAGTATAATATTGCCCTCCACCACAACATAAATAGTCCAAAAAAGCTAAAGAAATATGTATAAAACATGGATTCAGAAAGAACTGATTTAAGGCTAGAGACATTCAGAAAAATCCAAAAAAAGAGGAAAGCACAAAAATAAGGAATATGACAAGAAAAACTCATAAATAATTGAAAAACAATCCAAATTCCCGAGTACTCGGCTCCGCACGGAGCTGAGTTCGAGTATCTCAGCCGAGTTCTCAATCATTGATGTGCAGAATACTAAGAAACATCCATCAGGAGAAACTCTCATTCTGTTGTATTTTGCAAATATAGAACTTTATCAATAAAAGGAAACCATTCTCATGTATAATTAGCACACATATGTAGAGATCAAACAATTGACAGTCATGAGTGCAATTATAAAATCACGAAGGGGACATGCGGCAAACCTCTCAACAAATACGACAGGCAAAATGGTTGCATGATAACCGCTCACAACATCTGCTGCAATATGCGAGAAGTTTTTCAATAGAAGAACACAAGACACGAGGGCATTTCTGTCTTTATTATGCAACGCAACTGCATCCTCAATCAATTTTTGGGTTTGTGAAGAACCACTATACTTCAGTAAATTAGCACATGCAGCTGCAAATGCCCTTTTTCCTATGCTACTCTTTTCTTCCTGAACCGCAGGAAACATGACCCTCAATAGGGTGCCTGTAAAAGGTTTAATGTCTCTATCCACTTTTTGCACTAATAGACTAATAAAGCTTGCAACTCCCACCCTGAAAAAGGAATTGAGATAAATAATCAAGATATAAAACAAGGATATCTGCATATTTAAAATGTAGCTATCGATTTGAAAACCCCGCACCATGCAGGATGCACAAGAAATGAAGATAATTGTATAATGATAGAATGTAATGCCAAGCATAAAAGAAGAAAAGAAAATTTCAGCAATGCAATCATTTAACTTTCCAGACAAAAGAGCATTTCAAGTTCAATGGGTTTCATCCAGGACAACAGAATGTGAAGGCACTCGTGAATATGAATTTTCAAGGATGGACACTACATGCCCTTCACACAGGACTGAACAGATGCAGAGATACTCCATGTCTGCAACTTTATGTAGTGTTATCTTTCATCCTTTGTTCTCATCGTCTCTTTCAATTTATCTTATAGCTTTGCTTTTTTTTTCTCTCGTCCCCTGATGTTTTATAGATCGTTGTTCTTCGGCACCCCTGAGTACAACTTGATATATACTCCCCATTAAATTTGTGGTTACTCATAATACAACTTTTAGTATGTGAAATTGTTTTAGCAATAAGACAATAAGATTCACAATAACAAGTTAATTGCAAGCAAACATAACTCTATAGACATGCAATCAAGCAACAAGAGGCTTATCAGATAACAGACCTTGTATTCAAACCAACGCCAGATCGAACTAGTTGAACTAGACGAGGAATCAACTCATCAAGTGTAGGGACATCAACCACTTTAAGACAAAGATCAAGAGTATCCCACATGGCAGAGTCTTTTGCAACAGAGATGCGTAAATTGTCAAGCTTCTCTGCATGAATTCCAACTCTCTCTACGTGCAACTGGTTTTACAAAGAAGGAATAAGGGAGCCAACGGCAAACAAGATATACAAAGACATCAAGCACAGGCTTAATATGAGCTAGTTCAACTCATGTTTTTGTCAAATAAAATATTAAGAAACATGGTTTTGGATTTCAGTTAGCCAGCAATAAAGGGCATTCAAAACTTACAGACCTCAACATAATTGAAGCTTTGATCCTCCAAACTTGACAAACTTTCTAACATGCAATAGACAAGATTTGGCAGGTGCGGCCGGATTGCACTCCCAGCACCCTACAATGAAAAGTCAAATTAAGATCTGCAAGAGTAACTTGTAGAAATAAACAGTTCAAGTTAAAATAATTTAGTAGGGCAAAATGAATTTAGATGATATCATCACATACAGAAAACATAGATTTGATTCTTACAGGTAGAGATTTTTTCATCTATAAGTTTGTTACTCCAGGATCCCAAGTTTAAAAAAATAAAATATTAGCATTGAAATTGAAGGACCAAAACATCTCATAGCATGTGCAAGAGACATGAGCGTTTGAAAATAGAATGTGACCTTTGACAGCTTCATAACCAATTGTATTGATGATTTCTGGACAGTGGCAACTTTGCTCACTATACCCTCAACAAGCAGAAAAGGAAGCACAATATCCAATGTCTGGCTTGCATCTGATGCTGCAGTTAAAGATACATCACATAACCTTATTGTAAGTGAAGTCACTGCCCGACATAGACTATCACCAGCATTTCGTACAGTCTCCTTTATGTCATCCATAGCTCGAAAGGCGGCTATCCAAATTCTTTTCAAATGCTTAGAGACCTGAAACACATTCAATCACAAATCAAATTTTAAAGGGAGGCTACAACCATTTCATTTCACATGCTTGACTCTAATAAAGTCAGGAAATAAAGACTATTTAATCAAAGATAGATTTTATCAGACAAAATGGGAAAGTTGCAAAATCTCTTTTAAAGCCTCAAAGCAACAAGCAGTAATCAGGATAATGAAATAATCACTGGAAAACATCAACTTTGGGAAGATAGAAAGGAGAATGGAAAAATCCTAGTCAAACCCATATAGACCTTCATAAGCCAAAGTCCAATGAATCAGAAAAGCATAATTATCAAGAACCACACAAGGTAAGAAGTTATTTTGCCCACTATATTCAGATCTCTTTGCTTTGCCCTGTGGGATCATAGATGATGACAATACAAGATAGGAGGGGGGGGGGGGTCACAAGGACAGCAGGGGTCACATGGATTCTGATACACCTCCCAAAGGAAAAATTTTAGAGCTCAGAAAATTTGTCTTCACACATTTCATTTTATCACATGACATAAGCACCTTTTACTGAATTTCCTAAGTTTGTCTTCTTCAGTTCAGTCCCTTTTGGGTTTCAGTTAGGCCTTTTCATAGACGCAAGTATGGTAGGCAGTATGTTATAATGAGAAACTACCATTGACAGTAAGGAAGCTTATGTTAGGTCTAATCATTGGCCAGCCTAGCAACATATGAATAAAACTCTTCTTTCATTGGTGAGTACGAGATTCATACCTACATCTCCAGGCAATTTGGGATCCTTTGAATATGATGGATGAAATTTCCCTCATCAACTGGTAGACTTGATGCAGGTGTTAATATATAGAGGAAATTTTCTGGCATCCGTCGGAGCATCATACTTAATACTCCCCTCAAAAACAACCCATGAGATGGATAAAAAACCAATAAAATGCTCCAAATCATGATCCTTTAAATAAGATTTCATTGGAGCTCCAAAAAAGCTCCAATCCCTTAGATCTACTATCCATTCAAAATGGACGGCCAGATTTAATTTAGGGTAACAATAGATTTTGAGCACTTTGGAGCTCCGAGCCTAATGGAAGTAGCTTCTCCTAGTAAGACTTGCTTTGGAGCTCCAAAAAAGCTCTTGGATCCCTAAGATCCAATGCCCAACAAATGGATAGTCAAGATCTGATTTGGATATGGCAATATATTTGGAGCATTTTTTTGGAACCCCAAATCATTTTTTGCTATTCCCTTTAGGAGATGAGAAGACAGATATGGAACTTTTTTGGGTTTCTCGATAAGTTAACAATTTCAAAGAAAAACTTTTGGGGATCTCTCAGCCACCTCAAAGGGGTTTTTAACGAGGACAAGTAATAAGTCTTAATACTCCTGGGAATACAAAGAGCTTTCCCAAACATATATAGCAAACTGTACATTTCAGCATACATGGTATATATATGAACGAGGAAAGACATCGTCATCATTTTAGCCTTTTCCCAATTAATTGGGGTTAGCTACATGAATCTCGATTCTCCATTCTGCTCTATTAAAGGCCATATCCTTGGGACTGAGAAAACCAAAAAAGAGATAGTGGTCTCATGTGATTGACAAAGTAGACAGGCGCTTGGCAGGATGGAAAGGGAGATATCTCTCTCTTGCAGGCCGCACCACGCTGGTGAAAGCAACCCTGGCTAACTACCCAGTCTACCTTATGTCTCTTTACCACATACCAGCCTCGGCGGCAAACCGCCTCGACCAACTGATGAGGAATTTCCTCTGGTCAGGTCAGCTCGAGAAAACCTAATGTCACCTCATCTCATGGGACAAGGTCTGCCTCCCCAAACTTCAGAGCGGTCTTGGGATCATGATCCTCAAAAAACAAAACCTGCCTCTACTAGGGAAATGGTGGTGGAGGTTAGCCACTCAGACTAATTCCCTTTGGGCCCTGGTCCTTCGCAGCAAATATGGGATTTCGAAAGATGCTTGGCTGCCTGAGGGGAGATCCCTGAATAGGGCCTCAAGAGCGTGGAAGTCCTTCGCATCTTCTCTCTCCTTGTTCAAAAAAATACATCCGCTTCCATCCTAGGGAAGGTACTAGAGTCAGATTCTGGTCAGATCTCTGGTTAGGCCACACTCCTCTAAGGGACCTCTTCCCCTCCTTTTACTCTCTTGCTTCCAATAAAGCCTCCACCATAGCAGATGACATGGTCCTTTCAAGGGATCGAAGAGTCTAGAACCCCTCCTTCGGAAGAAATCTCACAGAGGAGGAGACTATCTATTTCCTTTCTCTCTTAGTAGCTCTGCATTCCAACTTCATTGCCCCTTCTGGGAGGGATTCTCTCATTTGGACTCTCTCTCCTTCTAGCACCTTTTCAGTGGCCTCATTTTAAAAAAAACTAATCCAACCTCCCACCTTCCCACTCAACCCCATCTCTGTTCTCTCCAAGGTCTGGTTCACTATCGCCCCTCCTAAAGTGTAGACCTTCAACGAGATAGCCTGCTCCCAAAGGGCTCTCACAGTCGACCAGCTTCAAAAGAAAGGGATCTCAATCCCTAATAGGTGTGTGTTGTGTCAATGCGAGGAGGAATCAAACCCGTGTACCTTTTCATCCACAGCATAGCACACGATCTGTGGAACCTCTTAATCCAGCTGTTTAGATTCCAATGGGTCACCCCACCTTTGGTCACGTTTCTAATCTCCTCGTATCTCACCTCTCATTAGCTGAAGGCTGGAAGAACCTTATGGACGACCGCAATTGCAACAACTATTTGGGTCATTTGGTTAGAAAGGAACGCCAGGATCTTTTAAGGCCGCAAAAATGAAGTTCCAACACTTTTCCACAAGATTACTTTGTTAGTTATCTTTTGGGCCTCCAACAATAGGGCCTTCTCTAGGATACTGGCAAACACCTTTTTCAGCCAATGGGAAAACATCCTCAACCTCCAACCACATAAGATTCAACGACCCAACAATTGGTTGGCCTCTCTAGAAGGCACCATCAAACTTAACTTCGATGGAAGGAGATGCTCAAAATATCATTTCCTGAGCAGCCGGGACATCACTACATTCGTGGTGCCTATCTCCGATTTTTTATGAGATCGCTTACACTTCCAAGGATATGGTCGTCTCATGTAAGCATATCTGGAGGACGTCCAAAGAGTTCGTCGATCTAGGGCTCTAGCAGAAGATCTCGCCTTTATGGAAAATTTTCGGATCGCAGTTGTTCAATAGCAGTCGCCGGTCCATATCTTTTTTGCTCTGGACCACAATGGGCGTACCATTGTTTACTCGCTCTTGTTGTTGTTCTATAGTAGTTGCCGGTCCATCTCCTTTTTTGCTCTAGACCACTGTGGGCGCACCCTTGTATACTCACACTCCAGTACATTTCTTGTAATCGGGTAAATCTATAAGCCCCAATATTTTGTAAAGGGCCTTTTGACCTATTTTTGATCGAGAGACCCGACTTGTGGGAACTCTCGAATCCCTCTTCTGTTTTATATTACTTCACAGCAATACAAAAGTTAACTTTACTCAAAAAAAAAAAAGCCATATCCTCAATGAGGCCACAAGTCCTCATATCTTTTCGAGCTATTTCCAATCACGTCCTTTGGGCCTACCCCTTGGCCTTTACAGTACTTCCACTTGAATTAACTCGCACCTCCTAACAGGTGTTGTACTTGATCGACGCCACACATGGCCATCCCATCTAAATCTACTTTCTGTAATTTTATCGCCTATTGGTGCCACGCTTAAATTCTCTCAAATAGCTTCATTTCAAATTCTATCCCTTCTTGTCTTTCCACTTATCCATCTCAACATCCTCGTCTCTACTACATTAATTCTATGGATATATTGTTTTTTGCCCGCTCAACATTCCGCCCCATAGGAGCAAAGCTAATCTCACCATTGTCCTATAGAACTTGCCCTTCAGCCTCATTAGTATGCAGCAATCACATAAAATTCCAATTGCACATCTTACTTCGCCCACTCAACTCTAATTCTGTGTGCAACATTTTCCTCGATCTCTCCATTTTCCTAGATTATCGGCTAAAGATTTCGAAAGTGCGGTCTTTTTTGTACTTCCTGATTGTCAATCTTAACTACTTCTGCATCTCTACTCCTATTATTGCTAAACTTGCACTCCATATACTTTGTCTTACTCCGACTAAATTTAAAACCTTTGGATTCTAGAACATCCCTCCAAAGTTTTAACTTTGTGTTGAAGCCGTTTTGGGTCTCATCAATCAAAACTACGTCATCTGCAAACAACATGCACCACGGTACCTCATCCTGCAGGTGCTTAGTTAAGTCGTCCACAACTAAGATAATGAGGTACGGGCTCAAGGCTAACCCTTGATGTAAACTTATTGTCATTGAAAACTCATTCATCTCTCCACTAGTTGTTCGTACACTAGTTAGCGCTCCATCGTACATATCACTCACCAAGTCGATGTAGTGTCTAGAGACGCCTTTTTTTATTTAACACACGCCAAATCAAATCTCGAAGTGCTCTATCATAAGCTTTCTCTAGATTAATAACGACCATGTGGAGGTCTTTTCACTTCAACCTAAACTTCTCAATCAATTGCCTATGTCGGAAAATAGCCTTCGTTGTTAACCTTCCTGGCATAAAACCAAATTGGTTTTCAGATACAATCGTTTCATGCCTTAGTCATTGCTCAATGACTCTCTCCCAAAGCTTCATAGTATGGCTCATAAGCTTGATCCCTCGATAATTTGCACAATTTTGTATGTCTACGTCGTTCTTGTAAATAGGTACCACAATATTTTTCTTCCATTCGTTTGACATTTTCTTTGTTCTCAACACCTTGTTGAACAGCTTCGTCAGCTAGTTAATGCCAATTTCCCCCTTACACTTCTAAACCGCCATCAAGATACCATCTGGTCCTAAAGCCTTTCCTATCTTCATCCTTTTCAAAGCTTCTTTCACTTCCGACATCCTAATCCTACGAATGTATTTGTGACCTCCGCCGTCACTTGTACGAACAATCCCTTTTACAACTATATTCCTATTATATTCGTCATTTAATAATTTTTGAAAATAGACTCTCCGCCTATCGTTGACCTCATCATCCTTCATCAAGACCCTTTGATCCTCACTCTTAATGCATTTAATATGATTTAGATCCCCACACTTTTTTTCACTTATTTTTGTAAATTTGAAGATATCTTTTTCACCTTCTCTTGTTCCCAATTTATTGTATAGATTATCATATGCCTCAAGTTTAGCTTTACTTACTATTTGTTTAGCATTTTTCTTAGCATTTTTATATTCTTCTAAGTTTTGATCATTTCTATTACACTACCAAGTTTTAAAACATGATCATTTTTCTCAATGGCCTTTTGAACCTCATCATTCCACCATCAAGTTTCCTTACCTAAATTTTTTTTCCATCTAGATTCTCCTAAAACTTTTTTTGCCACTTTCTTGATACATTTAGCCATCTCAGTCCATATTACATTAACATCATGTTCAGAGTTCAATTTTCTTTCTTCAACTAATTTATCTCATTCCATATTACATTAACATCATGTTCAGAGTTCTATTTTCCTTCTTCAACTAATTTATCTCATTCCATATTACATTAACATCATGTTCAGAGTTCCATTTTCCTTCTTCAAACTAATGTATCAAGAGAGTGGCAAAAGAAGTTTTAGGAGAATCAAGAGCATATGTCACTATTACCTTTTCCTTATATGAAGGGTACCTGCACATAATTGACTTAGCCCTGTTGTATTTATATATATTTTTTGAGTTTTCCATAGTAAATAAGAAAAAAAGTAAAAAGGGGGAGTGGAACCACCATGATCATTCCATTCACCAGCAGAGATGTAATCCTCCCTTGCTGTCCAAACTCCAAACATAATTATATGATTATGATGTAATAGGAATCAAGCCAAGACTTAATAATGGTGTTGAAAGTTGGGTATGTTTGGTAATAAATCATCCTATAAGTTTTTTGAAATTTCCCCACAAATAATCAAAATGAAATATAAAGACCTCTAGCAAGATAGCTAAATGGTTTTCTCACAAACGTCACTATAAAATGTTCCTGCTCAACCTTTTATGCTTGTTCATCCATTTATGGTGTATTGGCAAACAAGCAAATTGTAAAATTTCAAATGCAAAAATATTCCCATTTGCTTAGTTGAGGTTTTTCCTGGAGTTAACGGACAGATTGTGAGTTGCGACACTATCCGTGCTTCACATGGAAATCAATTATCAAGAACCCTGAACGTAATTCTTAATCCCAATGTCCATAACCATGAATTTATTTATCCAGAATGACGCCGAGCCCAAGGCCAGGAATAGAATTACAATGTCTAAACCAAATCCCATACTCAATAAATGAGAAAAGAAAAGCTCTAACTTTTTTTTTTTTTTTTTTTTGAGAAATACACAAAAGATTTGAGGAAAAAAATATGCAAGTCTATGAGAATCCCAGTGTTTTTTCCAGTTCTAAATACCAAGTGGCCATTTCCAGTTCTAAATACAAAGTGTTCATGATCCTAGATACAACAACATGACAATCAACTGCGAGAAAACCACCTGACTGAATTTTCGCCCATGAATAATATCTGCAAGGGCAAGGCATGAGGCCTCACGTGAACGCCAGAGCCTCGACCCACACTGGCTCAGTAAGTCTTCAAGAATGTTGTCAAAGTATTCATCGACAGTCTTCTTTGGATCTGCCACAAGCGACTTCCAGATATGTCCCATTGCATCCTATGAAATGGAAACAAGTTAAAATGTTCAGAGACATGGTAAAGGAAAAGTGCTCCGAAGAAATTCAAAGTTAAAACATGCGTGAATTAACTTGGGTTCTTGCATAAAAAGAAAGTTCAAAAGAAAAACTAACATTTCTAAATGGTGATTTCTTCAGAGCTCAAAGGTAAATTAAATAATAGAAATAAATCAAATTAAATTTTATTAAATACAGAATTTCATTACAAGTTTATTATGTCATACAACAAAAGATGATACTTGTGGCACATCAGAAATTTAGGATTTGAAGTAATGTTTCTAAATGTTTTCTGCCGTGGTAACTGCTGAAGAGGAAACCATCACAGGAATAGTCCATTACTTAAATAGCAATATGAGCCAGGAAAAAAAAAAGACTGGACCATTTAGTTATTGCAGTTAGATAAACATGACCAAAAAAAAAAGAGGAAAAAAAATTGTGTATGCATTGGATTTCATATAAGAAAATCTCAGCTGCTCAAATTTAGATGTATAGCAAGGTCATATCTAAACCTGGACATTCTTATCGGGATCAAACTGATAACGGACAAGCCTGGGAACTAGTAGAGCTAAGTGGGGCTTCAGAGCATCCCCAGCAAGTTTTGCAATTTTAGAGAATCCAAAAGCAGCACCCCTTTTAGAATTAAGAGAGGCTTGATAATTAGCTAAGTCCATAAACTTGTAGATCAAATCCGGTTGGCCCATCTCATTGGCTAGATTACATAGTTCCTTGTAGGTGCTGAGCTTTCCTCCGCCAAGACTTTCACCAATAGCCCCTTCTTGAAACACTTCAGAATCTTCCATTAACTATATTAAAAAGAAAAAGAAACTCGTAAATCCATAGTGATGTGCATATGCATCCAGAGAAAATGTACATGAGATCAAACAAGTAGAACATATAATGCCCCATGGACAGTAGAAAACTATACAACATACTTTTACGGCTCTTTTCCTCTTTGCCGAACCCGTCAATGTGGTAACAAGAGCCTTAACCAAGTCTTCTTTCATCGAAGGATCACCAAGTTCATACACAATACTCATGCCTTGAGATGCCAGTTCTTGTGTAAGTTCATTCTGTTCGCCAAGGAGGTGTGAAAAGGCCTCCTGTGAACACAATGGAGTACAAGTCAACGTTTGTTAATTTCTTCATTGTAAAATAAGCTGAGAAATATCTTGGCCCTTGAGTTGCTCAACATATTGGGTTCTAGCATTAAAAGAACTGATCCAACTAGAAATTCAATAAATAAATGTATGCCTATAGCCCTATACACAAAAAGAAAATTAAAAAATACATTCAGAACAAAAGGAGAGAAATGTTCCACATTCAGGAAAACCAACCAACACAACAGAAGGGTCCCCATTTGTCAAAGAACTCAGCAGTCCAATTAACGAATTGAAAATACAGAGTCATGTTAACAACAATAAATGACAAACCTGAATTTCAGGGAGCAGCTGCTGGATTTTATAATGACGTCCACAGTACATCGTTAGAGACAATAGCCAAACAGTTCCTGCACAACGCTCCTCTTTTCTACTGCTATAAAGCAGTCCATCAAACAACTTTTTAGTTATTACATCTCTTGCCAAAGAACGAACATCTTCATTGGCCTCTGTCTCTTTAGTAGAGCCATTTCTTGACACATATATGGAGACTTCACCAGAGAGGTAGTTTGAGGACTGGGAAAGAGATGTATAATCAGTTTTGAGTATGACATCAGCAGTCACAGGGACTGCACCCCATATAAAAGAGAGAGCCTCCCCGACAGCGAAGAGGACATCTTCAACCTGTGAAAGCCCAACATTTAAATATTAAGATCTAACATACTCAGGATCAATATCAACCAATTGAATTATATCTATGCTAGTCATGCTTCAAGAATGGATCTAAAATACCTTTGACCTGCATAGAGAAAAAATTAAGTCAAGAGCTTCATTCAAAACAGCAGATGATGTTTCTTTCATGGAAACATGACCCAGACTTATCACAATTTTCTGAATGGACTTGATATCGTCAGAATTAAGTAGCTTGATCAATCTTTCATGCAAGGTCGTAAGAACTCCAGCTGCAGAGAACCACTCATATGTTTAACAGGGTGTCATCCGCTCACTAAGATATGCTCAATATCACCTTTTAACAGGACAACAATGTACTATATTTTTATAAGAATGTGTTCTGTTTGTGCTTCCTTCAGCGACTAAAAATATGACAGTACATAAAAAACGCTTCCTTCAGCGACTAAAAATATAACACAGTACATAAAAAACCAAAGTACACCTGATGTTGGGCCATGATCAAGTGCAGGGAGAGTACAACGTAATCCTATATGACCCAAAGCCTCCATAGCAGTGGCAGCCAAAGCTGAACCCTCAGACTTCACAACATCTACCAGGCTGCTGATGGAACTATGTACAAGTCCATCTGGAACCTATCCAGGAGCAAAATCAGCACAGAAATTCATCAAAAGAAAACAAAAGTAACAGACAAAGAAAGCTCTATAAAATAAGAAGAGTGATATGGTAGTATATCAGAGACTTGGAATGTTTCCAATGACGGATGGCAAGAAAATGAAATAGTAAATTTAGGGATGAAATTAGGAGAGGTCATAAAATATGACATGAATTACTTGTACAAAATCGTCTAACTTTACATAGCATGAATATACACATTTTCCAGGAATCCAATACTTTATGGCATATCATATTCTCTCATCTAGTATAAAGTAGGAACCCTATGTAAACTTTGCCAAACAATGCTTATAAATACAACCATTCGCGCATAAGTCCACAATCACCTAAAAGGTATGAAGATATATCCAAAAAATCCAAACGTTTGGAAAATCGAAAAAATGGAACAGGAAAGGAATGCATCACTTATAGCTCTACCTATATCCCATTTTTGCCTGTATTAGAGGAATCAATCATATATCTTAAAACATAGAATTAGAGCTAGGTGGGCGAAGTAGATATGTGTAATCGAAGTTTTAAGTCATCGCCGCATACCAATAAAGCTGAAGGGTAAGTTCTATAAGACAGCTATAAGATCAGCTTTGCTTTATAGGGTGGAATGTTGGGCAGTCAAGAAACAACACACCCATAGAATGAGTATAGCTGAGATGAAGATGTTGAGATGGATGAGTGGCAAGACAAAACGGGATAGAATTCAAAATGAATACATTCGGGAGAATTTAGGTGTGGAACCAATAAGCGATGAGAGAAAGTAGACTTAGGTGGGTTGGCCATATGCGGCACAAACCCTTTACAACACCTATTAAGAGATGCGAGTTAGCTCAAGTGGAAGGCTCAAAAAGGGCAAAGGGTAAGCCCCATAGGACATGGTTGGAACTTAGAAATAGTAAAAAAATATATGAGGACTTATGACCTCATTGAGGGTATGGCCCTTAATAGAGCAGAACAACGGACCAAGATTCATGTAGCCAAACCCAATTAGTTGGGAAACGGCTTTGATGATGATGATGATGATCTCAAAACAACATCTATGACATATCTAAGAAATCAATCATTTAATAGTGTTTGGAGAAGATGCCATGAATGCGTAGGAATCTGAAAGATCTTAGACCACCCTAATGAGGCTGAGACCAGCTACCACAGCAATCTTCAAGATCTCTCCATATAAGGAAGCCATTAAGCACATGAAATGGTGGTGAATGAGATGAGGAGTATCCCAAGTAAAAGGAGTACGAAACAAAACAAACAGAAGCCACAATGTTCCTTGAATGGGTCCACCTAACCATGTCATGGAAGTGGGAAACACAGATTATTCTGACAGATGAAGGAAACAGCAGAACAGATTTTCAGTTCAAAAGGTGTGACTTGTGAGTGAGAGCTGGTAATAGGTGCTGTCATATTCCTTTATCTTTCAGGGAAATGTTTCCTGTATATCAGGGGGAAAAAAAGAAAAGAAAAAGCAAGAAGAAAAAGAACCAGAAAAAGAGAGCGAGAATATAGAAGTGAACAGTAAACAGAGCCCTGAGACCTCTGATGACATTAAGTAAGTCCATGGTCATAATTATTTATGGCTCCATCAAATATTGAAGAGATCATGAGACACTGGCAGAGAAATGCATCAACTTACATGAGGTGTCCCTGTCATACACTGTGCTAAAACATATCCAACAGCACATATTGCTCCATGATGACTCTCAAATCTGTCAAAAACCATGTCAGTTACCGAAACCCGCAAAGTCAATGAACATGAAACAACGACATGTTAGCACAAAATAGGTCTAGCATTCCCCATCATTCACGAACCTTATTTTATTGTTCCGGTTGAAAAGGGAACAAAGCTCGGAGATAAGCTCAGATGCTGCAGATGCAGTTAGGGCTGAACAAGCAATTCCGAGTAAACGTGATGTGGATTCACGAGTGTCAATGTCCACATGGCTTAGGAATTTTTTCAACCACGAAATTCGTCCTGCGTAGCGTGACGCTATCATCTACACCCCAGAAAAAAAAGAAATGTGATAAATATGACGACATTGACATGGTTTCCCAACCACCAACACACAAACTTGATATATAAACTATGCATAGCAAGCATAATAACCTCAGGCATCTCAGATCCAACAAAAACTAATCCCTTTGAAGCCGTTGAATGCAGATCAATGGAGCCATCATATGCCATAGCATGTTCAAGTATAAGGCACAACGAAAGCATCGAAGAAGAATAAGCCGCAGCTTCCCTTGTTAAGTCAGCTGTGTCAAAATTAGCCTTGTAGCATTTCAGCAAAAACCTGATCATAGCTGTATACATTGCTGAAGGGAACAACAGTTCTCTGTCCTGTGCTTCAGAAGTATCCAGCAACTTCGGCTGCTGCTGACAAATGTAATCCAGCATACTGGAGAATTGTGGATACTTAGGATCATCACCCTGACCAAGGGTTTGACTTGGAGCTTTCATAAGAAAGAGACCTTCAAGTGCCATCTCCCTGAAAAAAGAAGCACCCCTCAAGTCTATATTTATCAAATAAGAAGCTCTGGCAGAGTCAGTCAAGCCAGCATTCACATTCGGAAAGAAAATACAGGAAATTAAATAAAGCTTTCAACTATAATCATAAGCCAATGGAATAAATGATAACAGCAAAGGAGAATAACGATCCCAGATAAAAAGAACAAAAAAACCACACAGGCTACCGGTCTTTAAAGAGGCATTACTAGAAACAAATCTCTAATTTACATTTAGAGAATCTCAACACTAGAATTATATGCAGTAAGAACTGTTAGACACTAAAGAACAGAAAACATAAACTCCTGACGACCACTCACATGAAATGATATTGTAGGTTATGTAAGCAGCCTTTTGATTTTACACTTATACAACAAGGCAAAGACAATAAGATGTATGACAAAACCCCAATAAGGAGGCTAAACCACCATACTGTATCCACATACAATTATTCTTAACAAAAGAGCATCAGAAACAACTATCCGTGGATAGAGTGCAGACATAAGCAAACATTACTGAAACCTATTTCACCAATGAAGCACCAAAACATGGTAATTGAATAGGTTAACAGTTAAGCTAAGAGTGAACAGATAAAAGAATATTTCCACATTAAATGCAGACCACTAGTTTATAGAATCACAACTTTAGCAAGATCATGAGACAATATGCACATGTAAAACATGTATATAGACACATAGATTTAATAATTCAGTTAAGATAAAAAAAAAAAAAAATTACAAAGATATAATACATAATCAAATATATTATATATCCATTAGCACAAGCATTCACAAGAAAATAATACTGCCTTTACAAAAAATAAAGATAACTCAGAGAAATCAAATTGACCTTATATCCATCCTGTTATCAGCAGCCCCAATCATACATATGAAACGGCTGGGAAAATGTCGCAGGTTGAACAAAGATGTTGCCCACCTTACAGCACAGAACCTTGCTTCACTTTGCACCTTTACAACATTAAGAGAAACATTTAAAGAATAATAATAATAAAGAAATTGTATACACTATACGTATTGAGTACACAAAAGAAAGGTGCTTCATGCATAACAACGACAAGCACTGCATTCCAAAACAGAAAACCAAAGGAAAGGACAATTGAAAGTTAGGCCTTTTAACAAGAAAACATTTACCGCCTGTGAGTTTTCCAATAGAAGTGCTTCTAAATCCTTCAAGACAGGTTGAGGGGCATCCTAAATACAAGATTAGAGATATGGATGTCAATGCCGCAGGGTAACCACTGGATGATTGTAAAGAAGATTGACCAATAGTGAAGTGAAAATGATTCAAGTATCCACACCTTATAAGCCAAGGCAACACAATTGGTAGTTTCTTGAATGGTTGAACGAAGACTTTGGTCCTCCACTTTTAAAGCATGAAAAAGGCGAACCGCCATTTCAGTTTTATCCCTGAAACTCCCATAATAATTAAAAATGATTCTTTCCAAAACTCAAATGCAAAAATAGACTGGAACAGATCAGTATAAGACTAGATAACCTGAAAAGTTGAGGCAGCCGTTGGGTGAGTAAACCTATTGCTTGAAATGCAAAAGCTTTCATTTCCCTTGCACTACTATCTGGATGAAATTTCAAGTGACCCAGAGATGCAATTTTCAAAAGAAAATCTTCAACATGTCATAAAAGTTTTAATGTGTCCATGAACACTATATTTATGATTCTACAGACATCAGAAATAACAAAAGAAAGGCATGGATACCGCTCAAAAACATATATGGGTGAGATTGAACTAGAACCTGATTCAATGAGTGAAGAACCATCAAGAGATTTTAATAGTCCACTAAGAATCACAGGTCCCATAAACTTCAACTGGTCCATTGTTGCCTGCACGTGAAGAAGCTATCATCCCTTTCCACACTCAAAATCATTGCTAGCCATGAAAAAGCATATTATGCAATCCAGGCGGAAAGTAGTAATACTGAGTCATGAGCATCAGAACAGGTCTTTCATTAAGAATACCTCTACAATGAAATTCATTTAAAAGATTTCTGACACTTAATGAGCATCTTTTTATACGAGAGTTTGATATAGAACTGCATTTTCCTGATTCACACTCCGAAAAACAATAGCTGATTGTAAATTTCCAAACACATTATGTTCAACAACATCAAAACTTTCTTCATCCTAAATCCTTCACATGCACTTTGTTTTAACCACCTCTTTTTTGAAGTTTCAAAGAAAACCTCCACATCATGCAATGACTCACATGTTTGAATACCCAGACAGTGAATTCCATGCCCAACTGCTTCAACCTTGAAGTAGTACCACTCCCTGTTATCAGTAAAATAGAAGTCAAGCACATTATAACGACAGCTCTTGCAACCCATTCAAGCCATAATATACCGGTCAAAACTTTTGAAATTTGTATAAGAACAAAAACCCAGTTCAAGCGCCAATCACAGTAGTAAATTGATAATAGCTCCAGCAATCAGGATAACATGTCTATACAGAAAAGCTAAAAAAATAGAAGAGAAAGAACTTAATGACTCTACTCCAGCCATGTAACTTTACACTATGATACTAGAGAGCTAGTAGGATATAAATATTTCTCCACTAATGCCAAAATAAATAACTATGTCTCAATAATATGATATTACGAAGTTAGTAGGATAAAAAAAATTATCCCGGGCAATCAACTAACATCAAGCTTATTGAGAAGATATGGTTCAACTTTTTCACCTTCAAATCTATTTAGAGGGAAACAAAAAAACAAAAAAACAGAACACACATAAATAATCTGCCCAGCTTGCACTTCGATTCAGAACCGCTATACACAAATGGAACACAACCAAAACTTGTTAATAACACCTAATCGACCATTAGGAAGTTAGTAGGACAAAAATATTTATCCAGGGCAATCAACTAACATCAAGCTTCATTGAGAATGGTTCAACCTTTTCACCTTCAAATCTATTTAGAGAAAAAAAAAAGAACACACATAAATAATCTGCCCAGCTTGCACTTGGATTCAGAACCCCTATACTCAAATGGAACACAACCAAAACTTGTTAATAACACCTAATCTACCAGTTGATATTCTCCCAATTCCATGCACTTCATTTCTTTTCTTCTAAGAGACAGCACATTCCTTTTCATCATTCAGTACATTTTATATGATGAGCTAGGGGTAAAGAGTATACTAGACTCACAGCTGCTGCAGCTGTTTCAAACCAATCCATTACATCTCTTTAGGCATACTTACAGAGCTCAGAAGTACCACGGACTCATATGCCTAACATTGGAGCTGCATAAAGGACCATCCAGTGGACCCAACACTCTCGCCCCTTGAGTTCAATAAGATGCAAAACCGTTCAACCTCACACCCTTAGCAAGACAGGAGCTTTCATCATGCCAGTAAAAGAAAAGGCTTGGCAAGCTGGACCAGAGAGCTAAGATGATGGCATGATGGACCAAAAGTACTCCACAACAAGCACTCATTCTACACATTCCAATGATGGTAAGAGTTTGTCTCCGATTGCTTCGGACCTCTTCCCCAAGGAAAGGAAAACACAACTCAACTTTTAAGGAAACTAAAACTTTTGAAGACCAAAGCAAACAATTATTTCGCCACTAGATCAGCCACTCTCCTTGCATGCTTCCCTTTCTTTCCCAGTGAACATCACTAGACAGAAGACACAGGCAGCACCCCAATCACCTTTTCTTCTTTCTTGAAGGATCCAAATAATCACAATCACCTTCCAGAATAGATTTAGCCTCACCCCAAATTGATTCAAATACTATGTGACCAGGACACACATGTCCAAGGTGTTTTTTGTACATGAAGACGAAGGCACACCACGGATACAACTCCTGAGTCTAACACCTTAGAAACCTGGACATTTACTTCTTAAGCATTTTGCATGATATCTCACTATAGAAGTCCTAAATGTCACTTAAAATCCAACATTACCCCATCTTTAAAAGGTGTACGGATGTGTCGTGTCTGAAAGGACAATTTAAGGTTGCCATTTTGACACTTGTATCCGTGTTCGGCAAGGACACACACATATCCATGTTTTGTACCATAGTTCAAATCAGTGTTCACAAACTCATCCAAGTCGACTTGGACCTGAGCGAGTAACTTTGCCTCGACAGTAAAGGTGCCAATGGATTGGGCTAGCCTACAAGGCTCTTGGGTAGTGCCAGCCCCTCGGGCCTGTATTCAAGCCTATGGGCCCAACCAGGTCCAGGCAGTTGAGGCCCGCAAAACATAAAATATAAAGGAATGTTTATTTATATGACTACATATAATATGTAGTCATATGACTATAAATATTATTTGTAGTCTACAAAATGGTTGACAATAGTAATTCAGAACCGAAATATAACAAAATGCAAATATATAATGCATCTTGTCCAACTCAAGCTCGATACCTTTTCTTCTAGATGAAAAGGTGGCATGCCCTACCACCATGAATATCGCATGGTGGTTTACCATATTTCGCAAAACTGATTAAAATGTCTCTTTTTGACAACTCTCTCTCTACAAATTTTAAGGGAAGTTTCTAGAGAGATTAGAAGATGTAAAAGTGAGGATTCAGCTTTAATGATGACTCTTCTCCTCCTCTCCTTCTTCTAGTTAACGTCCTTGCCTTCTATAATAATTACAACACAAACATTGCCATCTCCACAACTGTACAACCAATCGACCATATATCAGAGGCCATACATTGTTCCTTTCTGTTCAAAATTACAAGGGCCATCCACCTCAAAGTACCAGCGAGACGATCAATATTATATCAGAGGCCATACATTGTTCCTTTCTGTTCAAAATTACAAGGGCCATCCACCTCAAAGTACCAGCGAGACGATCAATAACCTCACTGGAAAAATCAAGGGCCTCTGCTTTCTCCAGTAAAACCTCTTTTAGAGCCAAAATCAGGTAGTTTCACTCGACCTGAAAACCCTAAGAGCATGGTTTCGCACTTAAAATCACAATGACTGATTCCATTGCTGTGAAGGTACTGCAGAGCTCTCAGAATGGAAGTTGTGTACGCTTTAACAGCGGTTTCTAGTAAGCCTGTAAACCCTTGTTTCTCATAGAAAGTGTGTCCGATCTCCACCCTCCATATACTCCATGAACAAATTTATACTTCCTTCTCTATGGCAATCCTGACCAAGGTAGCGTACAACAAAAGGAAAGTCTAGGGTTTTGAGGATGTGAATCTCTTTGCTAGATTCTAAACCATGGAGAAGCTCTTGAGAGTTGCAGGTTACAAACTTCACTGCAAATAAATGATTGACATCTTGTCAAGGGCAAGGCTCACTGTTCCGCAAGAGTCTTTCCTATTGTTCTGAGTCTTATCCACTCTTTAAATGGAAGAGGAACCGTAAGTTTTGCTCTAGTAAAAAGCACAAAAAGGCTCAGTTATAGTAGCTTGTTCCGGCCTTCTAGACAGCTTTGAGCCAACAGTGCCCTCTCTATTTCAGCAGCCATTGTTTAGTCCCACATCGAGTATAGAGAGAAGGGAAGAATCGAGTAGACCTATAAAAAGGGGCTCCAGCTTTAAATAAATTGGAATTAAAAGATAAGCAAGGGGCAGGTCATGGCCGGGCTTGGGCATTAATACGTCATGTACTTCTTCAGTATATATCATTCATGAGAGCTTCCCAATTCCCTGTTTTCTTTCAAAAGACTGTAATCATTTTACAGTTATATAAGAAAGCTATAGAAACTTAAAAATAAAATTCGTATGATTGAACAAAACGATGCAGTTGCTTAAAACTATACCTTAGACAGTACCACAAACAGCAATAAAATGAAGATTACCATAGAGGCAGCCAAAAACACACTGCAAAGTGGAAGGAAAAGAGTTTGCTGCAGTAATTGAGCGGCTGAAGACAGACATGAGCCGAGCTCTCAAAGAAATACAACCAGGATTGATCCTGGATTCAATTGCAGTATCCTCAACACCAACTGTACCTGTGAAAGTAAAAAGATAGCTGAATCCACTATGAACAAAAACCTAGCCTTATCTAGAAAAGGAAAGAAAGCATCACACACTGAACAGGAACTAACCAGAAAAGGATGAAAATAAAAGGCAAGAGACATTAAAACTTAAAAAGATTGGCATAGTATGCAAAGTTAAAGGCCCACTAAAAGATGAATACAACAGAACGACTTCAATAAGGTGCAACTACATCCTTGTACGTTTTGTTAACTACAATAAGGATCGTCATGGGATTGGTTAGGATCACATTGTAGACCATGAATTCCAGAAAAAACCAGAACATGAAATGACTCAAAAGAGAAGATACCAATGAAATTGAAAAAAATAGAAGATACCAAAAGTATATCCTACCATAATGATCAACTTATAATAACGACCATAATGATCAACTTGTGATACTAGTATTATTAAATAACATTTCACAAAGAAATTTATTGTAAGTGAAAATTCTTAAAAAATGGAAGAAAAAACCAAGGCTACTCTGGTGGCAAGATGTCCCAGTCAATTAGCTACTAGTAACATCCATGTGCAACAATTCACCAATTTTTTAGTGTCCTTTGGAATATGAATAAAAATAGAGATTGTATACAATGAGACCATTTACCTTTGGTATAGGGAGGTCATAATTACTTACAACCATTCGATGTGAAATTTGATAGCTTGGGCATGTCACAAAGTTCGAGAATATTTATTTTGAACTTTGAGCTTGGTCAATGAAATAAATGCAGCCATCCAATTTCACATCTAATGGTCAAGATTAATAGTGACCACCTTGTACCAAAAGTAAATGGTCTCATTATATACTTTCCCACAAAAATATACAATGAGATAATTTCACAAAATCTTTTGGCACATCTCCATGGGAAGGATGCAGCACCTCAGTCATCTCAATAAGAGTTTAGAGAGAAACTTTCATGCAATAAACAAATTTTCTATGAAAACTTACTGTATATAATATTCACATATGCATCCCAAGTCTTTATGCATTTGGTATTTATATGATCTCATGATCCATACCACTTCAAGTTCCGTTCCCTAGTCTATTCATGTTCCGCAATTCCATAATTTTCTTTTACCATCTAGTGAAACTTACCAATTTACCCTTCTGTCAAGGGATCATTCGTGTTGGATCATTCCTAAATATACGACCAAGGATCTTGTAGTCACCAAAGCAGTTTCAAATAAATATGTGTCTGCTGATTCTAAATAAGAAATGTGCTATTACTATTTTTTTGAAAGTTTGAGATGCTAAAATTTGCATGTGAACATGATTTAAAAAAATAAATAAATAAATTCATTGGCTGGGGAAAAACATATATGTATGTAAAGAAAATTTGGGCTAAGAATTTTCACAAAGTAAACGAATGCACGCAGTTACATTTTGCATGTATCCACGCAACAAGTTTGGATTTCTTATGCACAAACTTGTTCCACACATAAACACTTGCATGATGACTTATATAACGTTGAGACACCGAGACTATAGGAAAAAATTTCCGTATAACTTCCAATGATTTGATTCAAATGAATATGCTGATTTTTCAGCGAGTTGTGGGTGTGAGTGTTTACAGCCAACAAAGGCATACCAAAGATTATGACCAAATTGAATGATAGGCTCATAATGCATATAGTAGAAAATATAGCTTCAAATATTGGCAAGCATTGAATGTACAGTTTGCTGCCCAGCAAAAGACTGATACAATTAAAAAAATTGCGTTTGAGCAAGGATTCCAGTACCCAACCGTTAAGAATCCAAACTGGTAATAGAGGCACGCGGAAAGCAGCACTAAACTAGACCAACTTGAACTACATGCATCCACAACAAATAGGCAGGCATGAAACCAGTGGTAAAAATTTCCCACACATAAAGAGAGAGAAAGCCCCTTAGGCTTCGACCTAGTGGTAGACATATCAGTTTGGGTGAGGGAGGTTAAGGGTCCGAATCCTTGAAGTTTGTTCCCAAAAAATCAAACAAACTAACCTAGCCTGCTCTTTACATAGAGGAGGGAGAGAGAGAGAGAGATCAAATAAATGCTGAAAAATTAACTGTAACCACTTAATAACAAAAAAGGTACCATTAAATAACAAAAATAGCTTCTGTATCAGTTTTGGATCTTCTAGGTTGACACCAACTGCCTTTCTTCTCAAAAGCTCCTCTCCTCTTCTAATTACAAGATCTTGACTACAACAATTCAGCCACCATAGAAGTAGATCAGTACCACACAAAAAGCCATCAACATATCAAAAATTCTATAGTTGATTAAAAAAGAAAGGACCACTTATAAAAGCTTCATGTGTTTGTGTAGTGTGTGGCTTGACCTAAATCAACATTTCCAGCTTCCCCCATGTGTCAAGTAGGAAACCATAACACCCCCTTCTTTACGATAACTTCTACGTCTCCATCCAAACATTAATATAAAAAGGTCAGTATTTTACCAAATTCATCCCTTTAAAACTTTTGAAAGGGGTCTCCAACCGCGAACTCTCCCTCCCTCCCTCCCTCCTCTCCCCCTCACTCTCCGCAAAAGAAAAATAGCAAAAATAAAGATCTTATGAGCTCTACACTGGACAAAATTGTTACAAATTGGATTAACAGGTTTACCTGTCACCACTAGCAGCCAGATAAAGAGGGTAAGCAAGCTCCAGAGGCAACTCAATAACTTCTATTACATTCAAAATACCCATCTGTTCCACCAAGACCATGCATAAGAGCATGCAAGAACATAAGCAATCAAAAAATGAATAGAATCCGGAACAGCTATAAAAGTGTTACCTTTCTCTGTAGAAGTTGATGAACTTTCAGTGGATCTTTCCCAGAAACGCGATTGAACTGTGCGATTGAAAGCCCAGCAGGAGAACCAGGCCTAAAGATGGGAGCCATAATACATATTCAGTATTTACAAAGATGGAAATAAAAGCAATAAGGAGCTATCAAATATCCCAAAGCTCAGATATCAGACCCTTCACGACTTGAAGATACTGGCAGATACAAAATTGTATGGAGGCAAAATTCAATAAACAGCTGGCCTTCAACAGCCATGTTTATTGCTTTATATTTGGAGGCAATTCCTTCATCAATCTGACTTGAATGGCATTCACCAATCCCCTGAAACCAAGAGGGAAAATAATCAACGCAAAGTCATCTTTCCAATAGGAGAAACTAAATGCTCATGATGAGGAACTCAGAGATAGATACGAGATAATTAAATAAGTATCAAGGATCTAACTAATTAAATAAGCATTAAAGCTCTAGTTAGCCTTTCCAGTGTACTATCTCCTTCTTTTCTTTTTTTCTTCTTCTTATTATGAGAAGTAACTTGAAGTAGGATGGTTATGTAAAATCATATGAAATATAAAACCAAGGGACATTATCTGAGAAAAGAATAAAGAAATAGACATAAGAAGAAAGCAAAAGAAGAATAAGAACTGATAGATAAGAAATCACAGTAGGGGAAAAAGGCCCTAATCAAGATAGGGAGACCCTATAAGCCCCTCCAAAGCAAGGGCATCCACCCCTCATCAAGATAAAGCATCAATACTATGCACTTACCTAGCAAATCCTAGATTATTGCATGCAATGGGAATCATTAGGCAATATCAATGCAAGCAATAGGTAAGTAACAACAGTCATTTTCTTAGGGACGTAAGAAATGCCGTGCCTGATAATATTTCACTCATTTCATTTGATGACATTATTATAAAACCTATTGCCTGATAAATGCTACATAAACTTGATAACCTTGATTTTAACCAGCCTTGTGGATTAGTTATCTTTCTATAGACCTGATGAGAAACCTGGAGGGACTTCACATAAAAACACTTTGCTTCCCATGTTCTATAAATGGAACCAAATTTCCTCTTACCAGCCAACTTTTCCTATCATCTTTTTGCTTCTTCTTTTCACCAATAAAATATAGTAAGTGCCTCCTTAAGCAACCCCCTTTTGTTAAAACCTTTCCCTCTTTCTCAATACAGTTAACATTATAAAAAAATATACAGTAAGTGAAAAGAGGAGGGCCAATATGATTTCTGAAAGTAATAAGCATGGCATTATACCTTTGCAATAACCCTGAGTAATATATCTTGATGTTGAGGAGACAAAATTGAAAGTTTGGCAATAAACTCGGGAACTATATTTGCTTTCTCCTGGAGTAAAACATAGAGACATATATATGAGCAGCTACCATGGTAATGTTCCCTCAGGCACCATTCTTCTTTGATTGAAACCACTAACATGAATACTAAAACGAAATACAAACAAATTTAATGGGTTTTGGTAGTAAGGCATAACCAAAAAAAAAATCTAACCTCAGTAGTCAAGCGATCAAAGCCCATCTCGATGTACACAATACAGAAGTTTCTTACAAAAGGTCCAGTGTCAACCCCCACGCATAGTTTCCATAGGTCAAACAAAGGCAAGCGAATTGATGGTTGGTGTTTCACTCGCTTATTTATATGAGTCAGAATTTCCATCACCTAAAAAGTTCAAGAAACACACCAACTAGTGAATATTGAGATCTCTAGAAAATAATGAAAAAGAAAAACAATGGGATAATCACCATAACGAATATGAAATGAATAAAAGAAAAAATCCACAGAAATTGATAAATTTAACTCAAGAGTCATCTAAATTGAATTATCGATCCATATTCAATTAGAAAACTGAGTAAGGAAAACTATTTTTTACCCCAAAAATGTATTTTATTTCCCTCCCTCCAAAGACCCAACCATGGAGAGTTAAGACATATAGTGATATATGATGAAAGATAATGAATAAAAGAGCAGAGGACTTCTAAAGTCTCACTAAGGAGAGGCTAAAAACCATTGTCAAAAGGCTTAAGGTTTCCCAATGTAAAATGCACAGTTGCTTAGCCTATCGCTAAAATAACAATTTGTCCACAATCATTGTTTAAAGAATGAAATCAAACGTAAATCAACCTTCATGCACGCATCAATTCGAAATGTGAATACAAGCACCTTGATTTGTAAATTGCAACAGACGTGTATCAGATAAAGTTCCAATCTTATGGGAAAAATAAAAAACTAAAACCACAAAAGAGAGCAGAACAAGAAAAATCTAACTCAATGCAAAGAAATGTGAGTTCTACAGAAAGCTGTTACTGACAAATAGAGAAAAGAGTTTTCCTGCAAATTCTAGGAATTCATAGTCATTCAATCTCACTGTATGCTAGAAACAAAAAAAGAAACAGATAAATAAAACACAAATTTACAAATTTATAGAGCAATGGTTTCATACCTTCTGTCGAATCGATGGGAGAGGCAGTGATAGGCTGGAAATGCAGTAAGGGAGCAGCTTTGAGAGAACAGTTTCAAGCTTTGAATCATCAGTGAGTGCAAGGCGAGTCAACATGTGATCCAGCATTGCTTCCCTCTCCTTAGCAGCATCGGTAGGAGCACTCGGAGACGCCATTTCTCCTGCAACTACTCCAAATGAACCCTTCCCCAAATCAAACCCTAATGAACAGTTTTAGAACTTCAAATGAGCTTTGATCCATCTGAATTCACTCAAAAGTGAACCCCTACACAATAATTGCAGATATCGTTCGTGCTTTTCTGTAAGTCAAAATTCATGACTTCTAACCGAAATTTACAAAAAAAGTAGAATTGCTCTACGATGAACCCTAAAATTTCAGAACCACATGTTCACCTGAGCTTTTCGTGCCAAATTCGCTGTGGATTAAACGTCAAGTTGCAATTGCACAGATCAGAGCTTTTATCAAACTTACCCTCGTTTGAACTCCTGAACTTTGAAGCTGGTTACGCCCCAATTAAACCCTAACCGAAGTTGCAGAATTCTATCTAAGCTTCAATACTGAATTTATCCCCAATTAAATAAACAAATTTTCCTCAAAATTGTGCACTGCAATTTATTTATTTATTAAGAGATTTGAGAACCCAAAGTTTTAGCATCGCTTTGGCGCGCAGTAAACAGACAAATTTATGCCTACAGTTTTGGTCTTCGTGCGAAAGGGTTCTTGCATTCCCATTACGTGCGAAAGGGGGTCTTGCTTTCGTATTTCGTGCTAAAGGAGTCTATAAAACGTTACAACGTTAAAATGTAGAATCAGCAAAAATGTAGTTTTAATGTTGAAAAACCTCTAATGGCTCATCTTGATCTCGACATCGACATGATCGAATATAAGAAAACAAAATTTTGGGTCTAAAAAATAAAGTTTCTTGTAACACATTATCTAGACCATTTATTTTTTAAAATTTTTATCTAGGCCATTTATTTTTAAAAAATTTTATATGTTTATAGATCTACTTGATTTTAACCATTTTTAAAGTTTAAAATTTTATAATTAAATATGAAAATTAATTTTCAAATAATCCTAAGAATTTTTTACATCAACATTACGATAAAACTTGAAGGTACACTTTAATTGATTGTTTAAGGTTGCAACCTTATAGAAACCACACGCATAAAATAAAGTCTTATTTCTTTATCTCATATTTTCGTTTAAAAATCACTTTGGGCATCAAATTTTTTTATGATGGATCTAAAATCAATTTTCAACATCAACTATGAAATTTACAGATTTTATATATTCGTAAAAGCTAATTTTTAGGGTGAAATGGACAATCTCAATAATGTATTACAATACACATTATTTTTAGGGCTTGAAATCATAATTTGTTTTTCACATCCATAATGGTCTAAGTTGAGATGAAGGGTTTGAAGGTTTTTCCAGTACTAAAACTATAAATTTTGGTGAGTTTTGAGGTGAGGTTTTACTTGTTTTAATAGGGCCGCAACCCTATCAAAACATTTTTCTTTGATTAAAAACATTGTTTCGAGAAAAGGCCGATAGGTATGAATATGGAGAAGGATTTGTCTGAAGTCAAATAACCCTTCAAAATACAAACGCCAGTGTTCGAGTATTATATGAAAGGTGAATTTATCAATAATTTATTACTTCTATTAAAATTTTATTTTTTATGGGTAACTTGATTACTAAATGAGAGTATAATTGAAATTAGTATTTTAAAACCTAGAAAATTCCAATCCGGATTGCCAATTTAGACGGAAATTATTTGACACTCAACCAGTTCTAGCATGGTATAGGTCCCAACCTGATTCCCCCTAAACGTCCCCCTTATAATGCTTTTTCTTTTCTTTTTTTATGTTTTTCTAACGTTTTTTTAGGTCTCTCTAAATCCTTACCCTATAAACCCCTACTTTAAAAATAAATAAATAAAATCGGATCACCGATTCAAACTCAACCAGATCATTAATTCAAGGATCTGACATGGATTTATTGGTGAAGAATACATCCCTCCAATCTGAGCAATGATTGAAAATTTCACCAAAGTGCAGTGGTATTTCTGAAAATTGATATCCTAAGACTTTACTAGTATCATACCACATTTACTATTAAGGAAATTATCGCTAATATACCTATATTTTAATAAAATCGGGAAAAAAAAAGCCTCAACTTTCCAAAACCTTGCCTACTCTTTTTTCCCAAATTTCAGCTTTTTTGGACGAAAATAGCCTTCACAGTAGTCTTTTTACCGTAAATAACATTACGGTAATTTAAATACTATAATGTGTAGAAAAATCCATATGGTCATTTATATATTGTAATTCTTAGGATATTTTATAAGGTAATTTAACTACCGTAATGTATTAACATGATATTACAGTACCCGAAGTACCGTAATTTCTTCCACAAATTATACGGTAATAAAATTACCGTAATTATTTATCGCTTTTTTTTTTTACCATTTTTTTCATAAAACCCTATTTTGACAATTTGTTTAGCACTTTTGTCCATTTTTTATCTCTCTCGTCCATTTTCTATCTCTCTTGTCTATTTACTGTCATATCATTTATTATTTATCAATATTTGAACGAGGTCTCTAAGAGCATCAAATATACACACCAATACTGATTTATAGGTATGTCATCAAAATATTATGTTTTTTTTAGCTTCTAAAAAACTCATTATGTTGTTTTTCTATAGTACTTGATGTAATTTGACTAAAATACCGCATAAATAAGTTTTAGATTCATTTATATTGTTGTATAAATAAGTTTTAGATTTATGTAATGGTTGGCCATCAAAATAATGTTTTTCTATAATACTTGATGTAGTTGGGTTGGCCATTGTAAATTTTTTTATATTATGGCATCTATTATGCAATCTAATGTCCCCCATGCAACCTCCTCATTATTTGTAAGTATTTTGAACTTCTTATAAGTATTTTATATATGTTTACATCTGAAATTTCTATGTAGTGATTCAACTTATACACAACAATAATGGGTGAGAATAGAGTGAAAATCATTTTATACTTTGGTGGTGTTTCAAGAGGAATCCTAATGATGGAAGTATTTTCTATGACGGTGGGGACGTAACGTTACATTTTTTAAGGGAATCACATCATTTGAACAAGTCAATGATCACTTGTCAAAAGTATCAAATTATGCCCAAGTACCATGATTATTAAGTATATTGACCCAGGGTTATCAAGTAACAGTAATATGATACGTATTAATGATGATGACGACATTGTCAATATGATGGATATCGACTACCAACAATGCCCGATAATGGTCTGTTTTACTGCACTGAATATTGACCACCAACAATGCACGATAAGAGTCTATCAAGATTGGTCAAGAAAGAAGTTTGCAATGAGAATCATTAATTTTCTTATTTATCAATTTTTTGTTATGGGTTAGGATAATTCTGACTTATATTGAATTTTTTTTTCTACAGCACTTCCCGACCAGAGCAAGTAGTTCACAGTGAATGTGTTGCTGGCATAGGCATAAAAGATGTGCATGATTCAGAAATCGAGCGGCATATCGACAATATCGGTCCGATATAAAGTCCCCTAAGGATTAATCGTTATGAAGTTGTATTCGAGATGGTCAGCATTTTGATGATGTACATGGATGCGGTAATCACCTTATTGATTATGCCATATCACAAAACTTCAATATGAAGTTTATAAAAAGCGAGGTGAGACGTGTATGGGCGAGGTGTACTACAGATGGGTGTTCATGATAAGTGCGTTGTTGGAGGGTTAATACAACAAACTTCTTCAGGGTGACGAAGTTTGTAAACGTGTACTCATGTATCGATGGAATAGGTAGGGTTCATCAGTCGCTTGCTCGAAGCCACTAGGTGGCAAGCAATATCAAAAACCGGTTGAATGATATGCCCGATCTTACACCTGGAGATGCGGTTAATGATATACAACGTGATCATGGTATCATATTATCTTATCAACAAGCATGGTGGGGCAAAGATGTTGCACAAGAGATAAATGAGGGTTCCCATATGAAGTCAGACGAGGATCTCGCTAAATATCTTTATAAGATCCAAATCACTAACCCTGGAACCGTATCAATTATTCAAACAGCTGATCATGATAGGTTTGAGTGTGCGTTCATAAGCAATCATCCATGTTTATATGATTTTATGTTTGGTTGTAAACCACTAATAAGACTAGATATGACATTTTTTAAGAGAAAATAAAAATGGATATTATTGGCTGCAGTCAGGGTAGATGCGAATGAAAATATATTTTCTATAGCATATGCAGTGGTTGAGAGTGAAAATACACCAAATTGGACTTGGTTTCTAGAGCTTCTGAATGAGCAATTTTGCGAGAGGCCTGATTTGCCAGCATTGACTATTGTCTCATATCGTCAGAAATGGTTACAAACCGCAATTGAAAAAGTATTTCTAATAAGTAAACAAGGTTATTGTATGAATCACCTTACCGATAACTTCAAAAATGCCTATAGAAAGTCGATGCTCACAAAGCTTTATTAGAAAGCTGCACGTGCATTGTCTATATCAGACTTCAATGAGTACATGGCAAAGATTATGAGTGCAAATGTAAGACCTATGACTAGATCATGTTACAGCATCTCAAATATTTGGCAAACTCATATTTTCAGGGATGTAGATACAATGATCTTATATCGAACATCTCTGAATCATTTAACCGATGGATATTATAAGATTGGAAGAAGCCCCTTATTAAACTCCTTGAATACCTAAGAGCATGGGAGAATTTTCAAAAAAGATGGTTACGTACCTAGAATGGAGCGGTGTGCTTACACCGAAGGCCCAAAAGGTAATAGATTTGAGGAGAGATAAGTCTAGATTCCTTCATACAGTCACAGGGACACATGATGGTATGTATGAGATCAATACAGATAAGAAATATGTTGTTAATCTTGCGACTCATACATGCAATTGTCAGGTGTGGCAGGTTAGTGGGTTGTTGTGTAGTCATGCCATCGTCGCTATTGATCATAGGCATGAAGATGTTACAGAGTTTTATAACGTTTATTACACAGTTCAAATGTATTGTAGAGCATATTCCCTTCTCTTCAACCCAATGCGTGATGTACTAGAATTGTAATATATTGTCTATACGATAGTAATGCCGCCATCTGCAAGGCGAATCGCGAGTTGGCCAAATAAACGACGCAGACAAACAAAGTACAAAGAGATTAGGCCTCTTAAGTGTAACTGATGTGGGGTTGTGGGCCATAACCAGAAGACATTTAAATCAAGTATATAAAATGATGTAAATAGGCCATTAGTGCCAGTTGATCTTTTTTTTATATGACATTTTGTTTATGAATTCGTAAAAAGGCCAATGCCTACTGATATGACTTCCTGGTTTAATTAATAAAATACCTTATTGAATTTTTTACGGTATAATTTTCACCATCTTAATATCCAACTTTTACGATAATTTTATGGGAATTTTTTCAACGGTAATTTTATAGACTTTAAGAGCATTACGGTAATTTAATAACCATAATGACGAATTACCATAATGACCCATTACAGCATTACGGTAAAATTTGGTTTGAAGCATTTAAGAATTTAAATAAAATAATTTGGTCTCGAGCATTACGGTCCTTTAAGTACCGTAATGACAGAAAGAGTATTTATGGTAACAAATTTACCATAATATGTATCACAATAATTTTATTATCATAAAAGCAGAGAATTATTGTAAAGACCGTAATGCTTAAAAGTTTAGTGGACTTTTGAGCATTATGGT